ACCCATGAGCAACAGGTGAGCCGTATGCTCGTTTGACCCTTCTCCTATAAAAAATAAATAACTGTCGCCAGCGGTTTTTCCGAACGACCGAACAGCATTGGTTAATGAGTCGACTGCCAAATGAATGTGAACAACCGTCGCAATAACCGTTCGGAGGTGTCGACTGCCGAACGTAAGAAAACAGTAGTCGCGATGACCGTTCTGGAAAACTGACTGTCGAATGTAATTGAAAAGCGCAACAGCTGATCAGCGTTAAGCCGAGTAGTGTGATGAAACGCACCCGCGATCCATTAAATGCGGGGACTCCCTTATGCTTACTTATAAAAACGGAAAGCGTCATTTCAATTGTCTTTTTTAAATAATATCTTTATTCTAAAAAGGAAGAAAAGGTATCATATAGTATATAGCAAAGTATTTTGTAATTAAATAGTGAGTATAGAGTTGAGTATTAATTATTCTTTTCACACATAAAAAGAGTGCTAAATGCGGCTTAGATAAAATGTTTGGTAAGTGTTTTGGCTTAAGGCTTTGTAATAAGTGGGAATTATTTGGAACAACAGAGTACTCGCCGAAAAGTACTAATAGTAGTAAAAATATCGAGAATACACTATCAAAGGGTCTTGATAAGTATCAAACACTCAATGAAAACATAAACTAAGTTACAAGGTATCTTTACAGATAAAAGTATTCCTTTATATTTTCTTTCAGATCTTTTGTTGTTTATTTCGAGAAAGGTATTAGTTATAAATCGCATTTATGTACGTCACGCGGCGACTTTCAAAAAGTTCAACATTCGGTCAAACTCCAATGCCATCTTTGGAAGTTTTAGTAGAAAACATTGTTCAGTTTAGTGATTGTTTCTAAAAGTCTTGTATAGTATGAAAGTGTGGCGTCTTTTAATAATACACTTTTTTATTTCTTGCAAACTGTATATTAACTTGTTTTGTGTCGCAAGAGTGTAAACTTTTATCGTTATACTTGTTGTTTTTAAAGTTATTTTCGAGTTAATTAATTCTGTCCCCGTGATTAGAATAAGCAAATTGTACAATGATCGAAATTACGTGATATGAAGAAGGTTCAGTGTATGGCAAGCAAAAAATAAGACTAATTTTCGACGGTATTAATTATACAATTGCGTGTGGTGAAGACCACCTGGAGATCAGGCGAGATAGTTTAGAAATATGTTCACCTCAACAGGAATGGTAGCAGCCCCACAACAAGCGACTAATCAAGTCGCACAAAATGGCAGCACTATTTTTCCCCGATCCCATCATCAAAGAACAGAAGGGCCTCCTGCAGCTCCTAAGTCCCATGACTACCTCTTGAAGGTGCTACTTGTAGGTGATTGTGATGTTGGTAAACAAGAAATTCTGCAAGAGTTAGAAAATGGATCTACAGATTCACTATTGTGTAGTGGAAGTGCTTATAAAACAACAGCAATCCTGCCGGATGGTATAAAAGTGAGGCTGCAGCTTTAAGACACATCAGGCCAGGGCCCATTCTGCACAATTATACGGTCTTATTCACGTGGTGCTCAGGGCATACTCTTAGTCTATGACATTACAAATATTTCCTTAATTCTTCTATTCCTTTTTTAATTTATTTAAGAAATTTATGTTTATAAAGACATATAGTTTTAGTAGGAACATCTCTCAAACTAATTAGAATTTTTCCGTACACTATTGCTGTCGACATTATGTACACATAATTCTAATTAACACATTACATTACATTACATTACATTACCGAAGTTACATTTAATATTATTATCAACTAAAATAAGGTGCAATAAATATTGTGTATAATGAATGAATGGGTGAGTTAACCGTCAAATGCCTTTTGTACGCCGATTATCAAGTTATTCTTGCATCGTCGGCGGCCGAGTTGCAAATGATGGTTACATTAATGAACGGATCATTAAAAGAAAGGGGTATGAAAGTGAACGCAAGTAAGACGAAGGTTATGGTTTTTGAAAGAGAAGAAAGTAAAACGATATGCGAAATAAGAATAGAAGGAGAGTTGATCGAGCAAGTAGATGAGTTTGTATATTTGGGCTGCGTATTTAGCAGGGATAGGAGATATGATAAGGATATAGAACGACGAGTGAATGCGGGGAAATAGAGTAAATGGGGCCTTGCACTCTATTGTGAAGAGTCAAAATGTGTCCAAAAACTCACGTATGGCAATTCACAATGCTGTGTTGGTCCCTACTTTAACGTATGGTAGTGAAAATTGGGTGTGGCAGAAGAAGCACGAAAGTAGAATAAACGCAGTAGAAATGCGGTCGTTAAGGAGTATGTTAGGGCTGAATCTGAATGAAGGTAAGAAATTGTGTAATAAGAGAAGAGTGTGGTTTGCAAGATGATGTTGTGACCAGGATTAAGAAAGCTTCCATGTGGAAAGAATGAATGAGGAAAGAGTGACAAAGAAAATTTATGGTGCAGAAGTGAATGGCAGAGTCGGAAAGGGACGTCCTAGGCGAAAATTTATCGACCAAATTGGCGATTTATTGAAAACGGGCCAAATTAGGAGTACCCTTAACCGACGAGCATGTATGCGTAGGTGTATGGATGTGAAGGAGGCAAGAGAGGTGTGTCAGGATCGTGCCAAAAGGAAGTCTGTAGTCTCTGCCTACCCCTCTGGGTGACAGGCGTGAGTGTTTATGTTATGCTATGTTAAATATTGTGTATCTATTTTACAAACTACTTATGGGTATATAAATAAAGAATAGTTCTAGACGATAAGCGTAAAATCATATAGTGAAACATATTACATTTTGTGAATAGTCGAGACACAGAATGATTATAACATATATTTTATATTATATATTTTCAGATTATAGATTTAATATACATTATAATATTACTAGTGACCTACTGAATCGGCTTCTCCTGGATAGTTACACGACGTGTTGACGGTAACAGTAATTATATACTGTTACCGTTACAGCATATTGAATCCCAATGCTGAACATAGACCTCGCCTATAGATGGCTTTATGGGGGTGATATTACCCATATTTTCCACGCTTGGCAAGCAGATGTGCAACTGTATATTTTTTATTTTTAGTCGTTAATGCCGCTCATCTCCCGTTTTTTTTCCCATTGTCGCCTCTTATGGAACTCTCGAGATGATATGGGGTAGTGGATACTGGACACTGCAACGACACGGGATAGGGTCTCTTAATATGGCATTATTTTGTCTCACGTTAATACCTCCTTACAACCTCCGAATACCATCCACACCGTCTGGATGCTTGGCGGTCCACCACTGTACGTCTCAAAAGGAGTTTTCTTCCGCGTACGACATATCTGTGGAATAGTTTACCATCGGCGATTTTTCCGGCCCGATACGGCCTGGGGACCTTCAAGAAAAGAGCTTACTCCTTTCTAAACCCCCTGCAATTCCCCTGGTGTTGTGGATGTTCACGGTAGTCACTTAACATCAGGTGAACCGTATGCTCGTTTGCCCCCTCTTCTATAAAAAAATTAAAGACCAATTATTTTATAATTTCTTTAATCAAACTTTTTAAATAATATAAGTCAATGATATTATATGAAAAAGAGGTAGATATGTTATACGCGCACCACAAGTGGCACGTAAAAACTATGCTAATTAGCGTGTTTTGTTTTTGAACCCAAAAATGCCGTCATATGTGATGAGATTCTGCACAAACCACACAAGAAAGATTTCCAAAAGTCAAAAGGAATCATATTTCATTCGTGTACTATTTACTTAATTTTTTTCGTATTATTTACGAATTCAAAAATTACGTATTTTAAAACATATTGTCAGAAAAAATAGAGAGGGATAAAAATACCCCAATGAGTGAGTTTGAAAGAGAAGTAATATTGTTTCTGATCGAAGAATATAAAAAACAGATAGGTCTCTTCTGAGTATCGTAATTCAAATTGTGTACATATAATTCTTGTTTTATTGAAGGGTAAATTAACTATGTCATTATTAATTAATAAGTTCAATATATTTGTTTTGTAGCGTAACGAAGTGGTATATACGTTCATATATAAAAAATTATTACAGTACTTTATTTTATAATAAATTTTTAATGAAATCAATATCTTTTTTATTTTCCTACTTTTAATGCATTTTTACTACTTTATTACTTTTACTATGAGCACTCATGAGTGAATCACGTTTTAGACATAAATCACGGTGAATGGTATAATGTCATATCTGATTAATTACTCTACATCGTTCCTGCTACACAAGAACACGCTCGTCGCAAAACTGTCTCTTACGCTCGAAAGTTTAATCATGCCATCCTACTTTGACGTCTTATCGTAATGTAGTGTGCTATTGCAATATTTAGTTATATATGTGTGCGTTAGTGTGCCATTTTTGAAGATCGAATATTGTGTAGGTAACCTATCTATACCTTTTTATTTATAATATCATTGATATAAGTACAGCTTAAGTCCCTTCTGGCATTGCTTTCTATCCATTCGGTCGGTTTTTTAAATAACTATTATAACAATTAAACTTTTAGAAAACACTTTTTAGTACCCTCAATGTTACCTTATTCTTGACAATTATCGAGCGAATTAGTAAAAAGCTAAATAATAAAAATATTTCAGCAAAGAAATTTTATAAGAAAAAACGTAAATATTAACCACAAAGATGTGACGGCGGACACTGGTTGACAGTAATCACTGTTCAAGCGCCGCAAGAACTTGAACTGTTCGATCTAGACACACTGCGGCGTGTCAGTCATGCCTCTGAAAAGCACGTAAAAGCTTAAGATTTCTCTCCGGTCGTGTCAGACTGCCATCCCATCGGAATATGAGAGTGAGGGAATAAAGAGTGCATCTGTATTTGCATACACTTGTGCGCTATAATCCTGTCCTGCGCAGGTAACTAGTCTCCGTTGAGACTGGCCGTAGTAACCGAAATACGGTCTGGAGGACATTATTTGACCTTGGCGGCCATTAAGATCTCAACTCTTTTGTGGAGGAAGTCTACAACACCCAACGTCGTTTGTACAGAATTTCACTCCCTTTTCACATTTACGTTATTGGTGGGTTTTTTATTAAATAAAAATAAAAGTGACTTTTTAAAACGTGTTGGCAACATGACCTAAAAAAATGAGCCACTGTAAAATCTCCGTAAGGTACACGTTTATTAGTACGATTTTAAGTTCAAATTTAATTCTTAACACCTTAATTTTTGTAACACAAAGATACTACTACCTATTTCCTCTTTCAATGTTAAAAATCGTAAAATATAAATAATACACAATAGAATGGCTGTCAAACTTATTTTGTACGAAGGTCGGCGTCTCCGGGAGTACACATATAAGCAATTACGTCGTATTATCATCAGTTATCAGTACTACAAACACGTTTAAGACTTTTGATTAATGTTTTTGATACATAAATATTTCTTTATTTTTATTTTTAATATTCACACAATATAAATAGTTTTGACTTATTGGTTGTAGAATATGTCTCCTTTATTTAAATTTCATTTCCTGCTGTTCTTTCGACACGTAATTATTGCACAATTTCCCGTTTTTTAAATAATTTGATGCAGTGACGCCTGACACGAAAATTGGAAACGATTGATTTTTTATTGACATTTATAGTTGTGAATTCACATGTTAGTAACATGTTAGTGGCTACACGGGCTCCGCCCACTCCCTGTTCTATTATGTATGTATGTATTATAGTATTCTATGGTAACATTTGTATAAATTTTAATTATTTAGATTGCTTTTAATTTGGCTATAGGAGCCGTTGTTCATTTCTGAATTGTTAAAAAATTAAATAAGCATAATAAAACCGGCCTAATAGAAGGTGTAAGATGCGAAAAAATAATAACATTCATCATTACTCAGTCACTCGCTAGACGCTAGTGAGTTGACATGGGTTCGTTGATTATAAAAAATCTCCTGTAAAATATGCCATGGTGTGTTTTTAGATATTGCTCAAATAATTCAAGAAATGTTAACAAACACCAAGGAATAACTTTTCATCCGTGAATAAGATACTTAATTATTAAATTTTAACTCTCGCGTGCCAGGCATTTTTGAACGACTTATTCTAATTTAAATAAATATATTTTTCATTTAAATGTTATATCAATACGTTTTGTTAAATAAACATTTAGTATGTTTTTGTATTTGACATAGTTACCTTTTAAAGTATTCAGACAGAAAATCTCATTAAAATATAATTGTGGTATCATATTATGTAATATTATATATATATATATATATATATATATATATATATATATATATATAAAAAAAATAATAGTCCGACTAGGTAAGTTCAACTTCGACCGAGAGATCAATCGACGGATTCAACTTAGCTGGGAAGCGTTCAGGAAATTACGTACAATTCAACATAAATTACATACACATAACGTACATCAGCTATACCTCAAAATCTGAAAATGTAACTGTACAACCAGTGCGTGTTGCCAGTGATGACCTATGGAACTGAGATGTGGTCCTTACT